CGCGGCGGCTCGGGTTCGATCCCGGGTCTGGTCAAGTGGGATTTGTGGTGGACAAAGTGGCGCTGGGGCGGGTTTTCTCCGAGTACTTCGGTTTCCTGTGCCAGNAGAGAGCAGAACTGCAATAAATAATCTAGATATAACAGAACAACAGTACTATAGGCACGCAGTAGTGAAAACCATCACAAGAATCGAGATTAAAAGACGTTACAGGAATGTCCACATTTCAAAATCGACCTGATAAACGCGAAAACTTGCTAGAGCAAAACGTACACTGTTACGTCACTATCACAACCATCATGACCTGCGATCACGAAATGAGGTACACCAGGAATAGTCGTCCTCAGCGGTTCCAAAGGTTGACTAGGTTGACTACACGCGCAAAACACACTTCCGACCGCTTCCGACGATCGCCAACATCTCCAGGTTCAAACCCATAACCCCCGTAACAAATTTAGAACGCCTGGAACTCATAGAACTCTAAACCCTCTAAACGCAGCCACCCTAGCTGTCCAAAAGTCCGACGCAAGGAATCGTACGAAACTAAACAACTTAATCTTACTGACTGAAATTACTACAGCTGTGATAACGCAACGTACCCATTCATTCGCTGCCATTGACGGACAACAAACAACGATACCATATTAACCGCAACAGTAGTAGCACTAGTAGATATTAGTGACAGACGACCATTAACTGCTGAAGTTAATTTATTATAAATGACCTATAACAAGCACCAACAATGAAGTTCCCGGAAATTATTAAATTACTTATCACTTCCAAACAAGAAAAAGTAATGTCAATATACAAGAGTATACTTAATTCTCGAAAAATGACAAATACCATGGATCACACAGAACAGATGAGCAAAATCGATGGGTACCGTGTGCTTAACGGGCATGGATTACTAAATATGCATTTACGATGTTTCACTTCCAGGTTACGAAATTACTGGAATTAAGTAGACAGGATTTATTTTTTTCTTCTTCTCATGGCATTGAATATTCGTCTGGTTATGACATCTTAACCTTGCATGTGTACACCGTGCTATTGCACACTCTCCATGCTCTCCATAGATGAGATGATCATGTAACGATGTCAATTGCAACCACCCTAATTACGACCAGGTGACGACTATACTCTAAGAAATAGACTTGTGAGAACGATACTGTTTACTCACCGTTGCTAAGCAATGGTACCAACCCTACAGAACAGAAGTGTAACTCGAATGGTAGCTGAACTGACACTGAGTCTATTTCTGCCGATTCCCCAGTGCATAGTCGTTAAGGTCGTTAATTTGGTGGCTGCTATTGACATCGTTATCTGATCTTCTCATCTGTGGAGAGTGTGCACTAGCATTCGTAGCATTGTGTAAAAGTTCAGTGTTCTGTGGTTCAGTGTTTTGTGTTGGAGTGCTGTGGTGTGCATTTGCACATACTGATATAATTTCCTGTTCCTTTTGCTGACGAATCGTAGTAGAATGGCAAGTAAAATGTATTTTTGTGATTTATTTCACGTCTGCTTAATATTTAAGAATATTTCGAGTGAGCGTTCAAACAATATTATGTTGTGTAGGAAAATCTTTTTGAGAAGCTCTTACGCATTTGAGTGCTGCACGTGGTTGAATTTGATTAGGAAGAGGCAAAGTTATGGATTAAGCAATATCGTAGAGCTTTCAGTTATATTTTAGAGCATTATAAAGTAGTAGGAACCAATGTAAAGAAGTATACCTTCTGTTGGGTATAATTTTCATGGCCGTGTTACCGAACGTTGCGGTCGTGTGGGCAGCGTTCCTGATTATAAAAGGGGTTATAGAAGTCATAGGTCCAATATTGGCCCAGACACTTGCTGTTGGGAATGAGGTCTTCGTAATTTTCCACCGTCCTTCATGACAATTCAGATACAGGGTCTCCAATGAGGCCACCATCGGTTCCGTCCACTTCGTTTCCACTTTAGTATTCACTAACCAACCTACAGTTCGACGCTACCCACAGTGTCGTTAAATCATAAACAGAGGGTATTGCATTATAAAAGTGGCATGTTTCGCAGAGAAACATTTAGGTGATTAAGAAATTAATTTTTAAGTAGCTTAACCTAGTATCTAATATCACAGGCATATCGCCGAAGTCTTATATATCATGTGGCTTTGCAATAATTTTTTTTAATAACTTTTTTCTTTTTTAGACTTGCAAACGCAGAAATAGTGGAAGATCTAAACATGGTCGTGGCCATGTGAACCCTGTGCGCTGCACCAACTGTGCAAGATGTGTTCCCAAGGACAAAGCTATCAAGAAGTTTGTTATTCGAAATATAGTTGAAGCAGCAGCTGTCAGAGATATTACTGAGGCCAGTCTATATACTCGTATGTATTATTTGAGGTTTGGATGTCATAAAATTTCTGTTCAAATCTTCTATTGAACGTATTTTGTATACAATTGTTGGTTATAAATTTCTCATATGGTAATGGCAGAATAACTTATAATATTTTACATAATTTATAGGAATAATGTGCCCACAGTAGTTCCTAAACATTCCATTGTACGGTATGATTGTTGATGGTATCTGTCCACAAAACTACAATATGTACATACATACATATACATTTGCGTTTCAGATTATTCACAAATGTGCACAGGCACAGAATATAAAACATGTCAACAAGCCAACAAGACATTGGAAGCATGTACATTCACAAACAAAATCACTAGCATATATAATCCATACTTGTCAAAAAAAACACATAAAATTGTTAAAAGGAAATACAGATTGCAGCAAATACACATACAATAGTTAAAAAGCAATACAAATTGCAACAAGTACACATACAATAGTTAAAAAGCAATACAAATTGCAGCAAGAATATATGAGCACAGCCAAGGACATAGAGTTAAATGAAGTGTACACTGTCAGACACCTCTTGACAGGTCTTGACAGAAAAGCAGGAATTCCTCAACAGTATAAGAAGGGTTTTGAAGCAATACATCCTTTAGTTTCTCAATAAACTGTTTTTTATCATGTACCAACTCAATTAAAAAATCAGGCAAACTATTAAAAACTTTTACACTCATACAATAGACCCCTTTTTGCCTCTTTGTTAGATGCGATTGAGGAACATGAAGGTTTCTAACTTGTCTTGTTGATTTACCATGAATTGTATGATTAAAAGTAAGAGTCAAGAAGACTACAGTCATAACATTCACTGCTGTGAAAACCTCAAAACTTATATAACAGTTGTTGTTTTAGTGCTTTATAATCTGTTTCGATTACATACAGGGCATATTTTATTAGATCTCTTAACACTCATCTCTTGAGAATTGTACATGTATGTTATAAATATTTAATATTTGTGTAATAACTGTTTAGTTTGGTACTTGAGATGAACATGGCTCTAAGTGAAGTGCTCTGAAGATATTATTTAGGGTGTCGTTTCTCAGTGAAATAATTCAGTATTGTAGTAATGTGGTAGCGTAGTTGGTTGAGGCACTATGCTACAAGCCAGAAGGTCGCGGGTTGAAGTTCTGATGAGGGCAGTGGATTTTTTTCAATTGACCTAATCCTTCCAGCCACACTTGGGGTGTAAAGGGTGGCTGGCATGTAGAGCTGACACCCTTGCCCCCATCCATGAGCTGATTGTCTAGAAAATGTGGGAGCCTGAACATCTCACAACCCTATGGGCCTCCACGGCCTGTTACAGGGATACCTTTATTTTTTTACTAGTACTGACGTTGAAGAATTAGACTGGAGATCTCCATCTGAACTGTTTATGCTGTCATTTCCTTGGGTGATATTCACATCATTGCTGTGGCATGTGTTGGAAACATTTGATTCTCTTTTAACTCTTGAATGCCAACATTCAAAATCCCAAGAAACAGTAATTTCCACCAACTTACAAACTTTCTTTAAATTCAGGTATGAAATGTTTGACATTACTACAGGTGTAGTTTTCATCTCTACCAACATGAGTTGGTAAGAATGTAGAAGACATAAAATGTCTGATGTAAGGGATTTGTCTGATTGACACTGTCAATTTTCAGATTTTTTTTGCCGTTGATCTAATCCTTGTTGGTATTATGAGGGGTAATTGTGCACGTATTCATTTCTGTTCATATGTAGTACATCTGTTGTGTGGGATGTTCATAAAATAAGCTAAACTGATGAAGTTGCTGAAGTCTTTTCTTTATTAGTTCCTTATAGCTGACACAAGAAAGGTCTAAGGGGCCCAATTTAGTAGATGTCTTCCCCCCCCCCTTACCTGTGGATGGGAACATCCAGTTTCCAAAACATTGTTTTCTATCTTCAAGAATACTGGACGATGGAAAAAGTCCAAAAACCCAGTAATCCTGTGTGTTATACACCATCGTCAGAACCCCTTTGGAACCTATATCTTTTATATTGTTTGCAATGATAAGTCTCCCGTATTCTCTTCATATCCTAAAACTGAAAGGATCCCATATTTCATGTATTGTCTTTTATTTATGATTACATATTATTTTGTGCACTTTAAGACCCATACCAAACTGGACAAACTAAGGAAGAAAACTGAAGTGATGAGGTAATGGAGACATGACCACAACTAAGCAGTTGTCACTTTTTTTAGTATATATCAGTTTGTAACCCTAATTTTGATATTTTAATTAATTAGAACATTGTTTATTATTTCTAGCATATCAGCTGCCTAAATTGTATGCAAAGCTGCATTATTGTGTGTCATGTGCAATACACTCCAAGGTAGTGCGTAACAGATCCAAAGCTGACCGGCGTATCAGAACACCACCAGCCCGCAACTTTCCTCGTGTAAGTATATCTTTGACTCAATAACTTCAACTGGTCCTGAATTGAGTGTTAACAATTCTTTATGAGCAGATTTTCTTATTGGGTAACTCTTAATATACATACATTTATGAGGATTCTAATAATCTAAGTGAACATAGCAGAAAATCAGTTTCATCCTTGACACTGAAGCATCTCAAAGACATGACATGACGGCTGAATGTTGTAATAGCAGGTCCAGAAAAGTTGTCCATTGCTAGGTTATGGCCAATAAACACATTTCCACAGAAATTAAAAGATGTTTCTGTGTCAGCAGTACCCAGGCCATTGCTAGGGAATGGCTCGCATGTCACTTAGCAAAGGAGGAATTCTTGGAAGCAGTTTTTTCTGTGCAATCCATCCTTATGCTGCTATTGAACATTTTGACAGGCGCACACCATCTCTCAGGTTGCACATTGCTCCCAAAATTCCTTACTTGTATGACTACATAACTAAATTATGCAGGACACACGCAAAAGTAATCCTAAACCATGTAAATCCAAATGTACATGTTTTGGACAGTGAGAATCTAGGAAGCACGAGGGGCTTAAACTTGTTGGCATTCAGGCCTATGACTGTTTATCTGACTAATTGCAGTTTTGGAATGGTTAAATAAGTTAACGCATAATCTGCTGCACAGTCCTGCATTGACTGAAATCCTCTGTATATTCTTTATAATTGTTACTTAGCCTAGTGCACTGATGAAAGGTGGCCAGAGCCCATAGTGACCTGTTTGTTGTGACAATGATACAACAAATATGGTCAGAAAGACCAACGCCTCCACTCATCAGAGAGGAAGCCCCACTTCTAAAACATGTACATGTATAGAAGAGAAGAAAATCCTGGCCATGGATCTCAGGCTCGAAGCCAGGAATGGCAGTGCTGGCAAGTGCCAGCAGCACTTTAACCTACAAACTGACAAAGAGTTAGTCATGATTGGAAGTCAGTCAGGGTTGGTGGTTAGAGTCTTGAGTTGCATAGTTAGATGCCACTGCCAAGCAATGACTAGTGAAAACAGAGAACTTGATGCTTGCAGTGGTGATTTTTAAGAGTGTAAATCAGTGAAAAATATTACAATTATTTGTAATTAACTAGTTATAAATGTTCAACAAATCCAATTATCAATCCACACCATGTGTCTGAATCACCAGCATGTGGCAGTATCAGATGAGATGTAGGAATCTGCAGTTCCATACAATTTGAGGAACCCCAAAATTGTTGCAAATAATGATCACGGTCAGATTTGTGTAAACATAGATGGAAAATAGTGAAAGTAGTGTTCAGTCACTGGTACACATTTGAATAGAGAGATGCTTCAGTAACCATTAGTTAGAAATATTTTATTTTAAAGACAAATTTGACAAGTTCAGGGATAAATGAAATGTTTTGTTTGTTTCAGGATATGATGCGACAGGGTGGCCAGCAGGTTAGGAAGTAATTGCTTGTAATGTCATGTGTATTTCAAAATAAATAATCACTTTGAGACTCTTGTGTTTTAATTTACAGCTCCCTCTTATGAATCCTTTTATAATAAGAAGCTCATTGTGATGGAAGTTCTTATAATAAACTATACTTGGTGGGTGTATAAACCATAATTATTTAGATATTATTATATGAAATGATATGATGTGAAAGTTAAAAATAGATGCCACAGTGGTGTGGGTATTGATTCATACTCAAGTGGTCCTTGGTTCAACTCTTAGCCCTCAGACTGCCTGCTCTCAGTCTTCTGTGCAGGCAAATGTTGGAGACAGTGTCTGAAGTTAGGCACAGCTGTTTCACATTTAATTATTTGTTTGCTAGTTATACTATTGTGTGATGCTATATGATCTGAGCCGCTGGAAACATAAATATACATCTATTCCAGGAAATAAAATAATGAGCCAGATATTTGGTTTTATAAAAATTTATTGTCATTGCAAAATGTGAAGCAAAGTAAAAATGTTCAACAGTGCCAACTCAAAATATCGTAAGCTGTTCGTGTTTGGACACTTTTTTTTTTTTGCTTAGTGGGGGGTGGAGTCCAACTAGGTACACTTGGCACGGCGGCCACTGATTGGCCTATTGTACCTGCCCCAGGTGATTATNGGAGAATTTTGGTGGAATGAAGATTGGCAAGGGAAACCAAAGTACTTGGAGAAAACCCGCCCCAGCGCCACTTTGTCCACCACAAATCCCACTTGACCAGACCCGAGATTGAACCCGGGCCGGTGTGGTGGGAAGCCAGTGACTAACTGCTTGGGCTCTGGCACGGCCTTGTGTGTATCGACCTTTGCTTTAGGGGTTACGATATTTTAACATAACATGTTAACACCTGAGTAAAAGTTCCAAATGTGAGTAGCACATTGTGTCTTGCAGTGCAGCTGGGTAACTTGGTTGAGTTGTCACGCCCTTCTCCTTCAGTCAAAAATGCCTGCCAAGAAAGTATTATTGAAAAATCTGCAAAATATACATATAATTTTTTCTTCCTTGTAGTCCACATTTTTCAGTTACATCTTTCCCTACATATTTTCTTCTTACTGTTCACTGTTTTTCCCTTGCCTGGTTTTCATCTTTTCTTCTTTCATAATACTTATAAACCCAGTTCATTGTACCAATGTATAATCTAATTTTTTAGTTACTTCAGAAACAAAATTGTGATGTGTGTTCACCTACCATGGAATACTTCTCCCAGCCACCAGTGGCAGTGCCGCCTGTTCTCCTGCTGCACATAGGGTAGCTCACTGAAAGTCCTGCTCTTTTTCATGTATGATGGGTTGTGAAATTTATAATTAGCAACAAGTTAGATTTCACATCATATTGGGATGAGTGTGCAATATTCCCTACATTTGGTAGTCATTTTGTCTATAGACAACAAAACATCTTCTATCTGACACTATACTCCAANTCTGATGTATGTACAACCCTGCTCATTTTCTTCAAAAGTTCATTTCAGTTAAAAGCATATGTTGCAAGTTCAAAATATCAGTAATCAGATTCATTATAATGTATGGTATTTATGCTTTTGGATTTTCTTAATATCCAAAGAAAAGACTGAAAGCAAATGTGGAGAACCGCTACTTTCAACATCCTAGAGATGTAAACTTTGTTGAAGCTCATAAACTATAGTGAAATAAAACAAAACACATAATTTACTTTCAACCCATAATATTTAAATAGCTTAAAGTTAATTTTTATTTCTCTTTTCATATTCTAAATTCCACTGGTATGCTGTAAAATGCTAGTATTCAGTTATTTAGTATAGAGGGGGTGGGTTTCCCCATGCACCGCAACTAATAGTCTATTGTACGTCCCCTTTTAATTTCTACTGTCGCTGTACCCTACTGATACTGGTGGCCACTATCTCCCCTTTCTGCCAGCAAGGTCGGCCCTCTACTGGCATTGGTACCTGATAACTTCCCCATCTACCGGAGGCATTGGAAACTACTTGGGTGGGAAACATTTTGCCTAATTTTGCTCAGAGGTCTACTAGACATGAGGATCTTTTACGTGCTGTAAATCTACAACACAGGACCCACAGCTTAAGTCCCTCCCGGAGGACTTGTTCCCTTAATTTTTCCGCCCTTAAAAGTTCCACGACCTCCGCTCGGTTTGAACCCGCATACCTTGAGTCATGAGGTGGGAACGTTACCCCTAGACTACGGAGGCCGCTTAAAATGCTAGTAACTGAATCATAAATTTCTTTCGTTCTATAATTAACTAATGTACTGTGCCACCATTCAGAAACAGAATGTGAACACCACACACTTCATTCATTAATAATTAATATCCAGTGTGAATTATTAATTTTTTTCAAGTCAATATTCTATGTATTCATAATAATAAATATAATACTTACATTAGTCAAGATAAAATAAATATCAGAATATTTTCTGATTGATGTTTATTTTTAATAGCCAATAAACACCCCTTCCTCAAAATACAGAAAGCTTCCATAACTTTGGAGAATGTACACTCTACACCAGAACCTCTACTCCTGAATTTAAGCAAATGTCAGAACAGTATCTCAAGTTAGGTCACAACTGCTTCGTTCTCTGTCCTTTCCAATTCATTATTCACTAGTCACCCTGTCACTGAATGCTACATGATCCAAGTTATGGACAGCTTTGTTAAAATAACATGTAAATAGTAACAACTATGCTACTGCAGCATACAGTTTTTGTGACTATTTTACAGCAGATACATCAAAGGGTGTCATATATGTAGAATTCTCTCAGCATTAACTATAATATATGTTCTCTTGCATCACAACTGTGAGTTTTTAGGCTCACACATCTATCGGCTGATAGGATGGACTGTCAAGTTACTAAAGTCTCAACAGCCTAAGGAAATTATATTTCTATATAAAGTGAATTGTTGGATATCACAAGAAGAGAAGTTTCAGTTCTACTGTACCTAAAACCATTATAATGCCAGTTCTGCTAGTAAACAGCACAAGATCACAATACAGATTATGTCTTTGTATGTGAACACAAAAGTGTTAAAATTTACAGAACCATTATTTCAAATGTTTAATACTATACAGGAAATAGTGCATGTGTGCACTTTTGTATGTGCACACATACTAGGAACAATTTGTACTATAACAAATATGTACGACCAACTTCCCTGCCATTTCCCTGATCATCATGTTTGGTAATATAAAGTTTCCTACCTAGATGTTTAAAAACCACACAACACATGGTTTTGCCTTGTAACCATACCATATGTGTATGGTTCTTCAACTGGAGGACAACAAAAGTATGTCTCTTTGGTATTCTATAAAACAGTAAGTTGAATGTATGAATGTATAAGAGGTGGGACTTCTTGGCACTTGCACCACGAACACAGTGATCTATTGTGCCTCAGTAAAGTTACTAATAAAAATTGTAACCACAGGTACAAACAGTGTCTACCATTGGCTGCATCCATTAACACTATCAAGTCTTCAGCTTTCATTTGTAGTTTCAATGTCTCTGTACGGGATCTCTTCCAGTTAATTCTTGTATTCTCTCCAATATTATCCTTGCTACATTAATTCTCTTCTTATTATCATCTGTATCTAAGAATGAAATAAAAACGGTCAGATGTCACTACACTATTTCATTATCAATGTTATTAACACAGATAAGTAAGTTACTTTTTCATGGCCTACATTCCTGTGGAAAATCAAAAACTTTTATTAAAAAAAACCAACATCATGATTTAGTCCATACACTTTTTGAATCTAAGTCACATGAACTGAAAAGGAATCTCATTTCATACCAAACAATAAACTGGCCTGTTACAAAATTCATATATAAGGCTCAAAGAAAGAAATTTCAGAACATTTCTTTGTACTGTTGCAAGAAATGAAGTGAGATTTATGCAGAAAGTATTGTAATGTGGATGGCCAGAGCGTTGCTAGGTAATGGACCCGTAAACATACGCGATACACACTCGCAAGGCAACAATAGAAGTAGGACGTTTCCTATGTGGTCAGTGCAATAACCACTGCTATGCAACGTTACAGTAAACACTCCTCTACTAGAGTGGAGGCTGTTTTCTGTGTGTGGTCGGTGTGGTAGCTATATAACAACAGTCAGAGACAGAAGAGATTTCAGTGTTTTAGTTTTTAAGTGACAGAGAGTTCTCAGTGGAAGACAGTCACAGAAAGTTCGTCGTGTGAAGACTTTGCATGTTATTTTGACGACTTTATTCATGTATAATATTTGAAGTGATTTGAAGTACTAGTTCCTGTGTTTTAGTCACATTACCAGGAGAGGGCTAGTGTGGGTGTGTGTGTGTAACCATGAATTATGAAGTGTGAAACTAGCAATAGTGCTGTAATTAAGTGTGATTAAGAGAGGTTGTAACCAAAGTGCTAATAAATCCAATCATCTGAACTAGAATTCGTCATTTTCTTTGTGTGTACCATCCTACATGTGACATTTTGCTGTCAGAAGTGGGAAGGCCCACACAAGGTAGTCACCCAGATAAGTGATGTCATATACAGGATCCATAGAAACCCTAGGTCAAGGATGATGATAGTACACCTGAACCAGCTGGCACCTTATCAGGGAGCTGCTCAGGTGTAAAATTTTACATTAAAATCCCTTATTTATGGTAATTTTAATCTTAAAATATTCCCTTGTTTAACATTGATTTGGTGAACATGATTTTGATTATATGCGATTTATGTTCAGACACTAGTTATACACAGCACAGGGTCTGGTTTTGATTATCCATGGGTTAGTGTGTGTGCATGTGCAGATCTAAGTCTGAGACTTGCAAGCAACTGAGATTACTACATAACAGCACACACCATTCAGCCTCAGTGTAACCATTATTCTTGCTTTGAGAATGTGTGCTGGACAGTGTAATGCGACCTTCAGAATAACTCTCCCTTTTTATAAAATACTGTATTGTTATGCCCAAAAATATGGCCTCAAAGCCTGGTAAATGTACTGATGCTACTATAAAAAAAGTTAGAAAAGTAATGATCAGAAAAACATTACATCATAAAAAAGCAATTTCTAGAATAGAAAATCAACGTACTTCATGAACTAGTATGTGTTGAAACTGTACCATCCATTGGAAGACATTTTCATATCAATGAATCTACTATTAGAACTATTAAAAGAAGTCAAGCAGCCATTAGGGCTAGCGTTCAAACAAGAGCACTGAGGAGTGCAGCAGTCACTTATAAAAGCTGTGATCCATGAGTAGAAAAAGCCAAGAAAGCACTTTCTTTGCAGATCAAGGATATGGCACAAAGGTTTATGCATACGTGTACATATCTACAACAGGTGTAAATAAAAGCTATTTCTTATATATGAACATACTATACTAGATTATTTTTACCCTTGAGATTTTGTACAAACATTCTTCATAGACGAATTCCCCATTATCCTTACTTACTGTAAGATCAAGATATTGCATGACACAGTTTTGATATCCATGGTATAATTCAAGAACGCAACCATCTGTTAAAGATGGGATTATGAATTTTCAAACTGCAGCTGAACTTTTAAATTTGACTGATGTTATCAGGGCCTTTTACTCAAAGCCCTTGATTAATGTACCCATGACGTTTGGCAGAGTCCTCCTGAATCACCCAAATTGTATATTTTTGTGTGTCTTCGTTTACGTGCTTATATGTATTTATTTAATGATACTGAGAGTAACTTAGGCTATACAATGTAGTGTTGAATATATGAGTAATAGTGAATAATGAATGGGAAAAGATGTAGAAGTGGGCATGGACTATTTTAAGGCGCTCTCTTGGCACTTGCCTGGAAGGACTGAAGAAAATCATAAAAAAAACCTAAGTCAGGGTGGTCAGTGTGTGGACCAAGAATGAGCATCTCCTAAATACAAGTTAGAAGTATCACCATATGAGCCAAACTGCTTGGTGGTGTGTTTTAGTAAAATAACGTTTACTTATAACATTTTATTATGAAATTACGATTTACTTGAGCTTACCTACATAGTAGATAATTTCACAAAGATCTCTACAGTCATCACTGTCTCTAATAATGTCTCGTAGTGTTTTATAAAATGATAATATTATGTCGTGTTGATGATCTTTAAAAACACCTGGAAATAAGAATGATTTTATCATAATTAATGCAGACAATTTAATGAAAATAATTTAAACTATCTACAGAACTTTGGACTTTAGTCACGTGAATAGTACAAAAGGTTCTGTACTCACGTGACATTTTTGGATCCCCATTTATCACATCATAACATGTTTTTAAGGGTGTGGCACCTTCAGCTACTACATAAACTGGCTGTGCTCCTGGACTGTCTCTATTCTTTATTTTATATACAGAATTTTTATATAGCCTCTGTTTAACTCCAGCGCGATCAAATACTTGATCTTCCAAACTCTGTGAAGAAAGAGAACAGGCAAAAGATAGTTATCTTTTTTTTCCAATTTAATTACCCTTGTATCTGTAACATTACGTATGGTTTTACATTTTTTATGCTTATGAAAATGTTCCACAAGTACACACACAGGGACATGTGCATGCACACAACAACCTGTTTTGATTCACACTTATGAGTAATATATATTGATTAATTCTGTATGTGGGTTATGCCACTGTGTAGTCTGGTAGGTGGGTATAATGTTTAAGAGGAACATACTTCCTCCACTGGAAGCATATGCTTTCCAAAACACTGGTACCCCACTGAACAGGCTACACAGTGTTACAACTCAGAAGATCACAATATGAACTTTCATCATTATGAAAACCTCCAACTGGGGGCACGCAGTAGCGTAGTTCGTTGAGGCACTATGCTACAAGCCAGAAGGTCATTGGTTTAAGTCCCAATGAGGTCACTGGATTTTTCAATTGACCTAATCCTTCCAGCCGCACTATGGGCCTGGGGTCGACTCAGCCTCTAACAGAAATGAGTACCAGGAATATTCTTGGAATATTCTTGGGGGTAAAGGGTGGCCGGCGCAAAGGGCTGGCACCTGCCGCCATCTATGAGCCGACTGAATAGAAAATGTGGGAACCGCAACATCTCACAATGTTATGGGCCTCCACGGCCTGTTACTGGGATACCTTCACTTATTTTTTTTTATGAAAACCTCCAACTAATAAGTAGAGCAGTATATAATAAAAATTAAGAACCTAAGAGCCAGCAGTGCTGTAACATACAGGGGAAATAAGAAATGTATGTAACATTTTAGTCATAAAACTTCAAGAACAGAGAGAACACTTGGAAGAAGGATGCCTTATGGAACATTTTCATCAAATTCTAGGACTTCTGTGGGACAGACAGATTCCAAGATATGCTCCTTTCTTGCAAATTTTACCCATTTGTATGCCACACATTGCAACCCTGATTTAGAAGGTGCAGTACATTATTCCATAAATTTGTGCATTTATTCTTAAGCATGAAATGAAGTAAAAACAACTTTCTTTGCAATAAAACATGTTAATTAAAAAATCAGTGTACATAAACTGTGCTCACCATTGCAGCATCCATCCAACATTTATCATCAGGCCAGTCTGTAGAAACATCCTTAAGGTCTGTGGGTATATAAAGGCTCTTGGGAATTAAAATAAACAACTTCTTTACTGGGAATGCACTATCTGAAAGGCGATGTTTGTTGATGAACGTTTCAATTCTCTTTTTAATACCTAGAATTTAGGACAAAAATGTTAACATCACTACTGTTACATGAGCAGCAATGACAGTTATGACGATCACCATCATGACCACCACAGATGCTGCTGCCACCACCCGTACACTGAGTATGCTCCCCAAGATCAGACTATTAATCAGTGTTTCTATTTACAAGTACTGTGTTGTCCTCATGATGCAGTACATCTTAAACAGCCACAGAAGTAGGAATTCAGTGAATGGAAATTTCAATACAGGGTGTCCCAGGAGGAATGGACCAAACTTCGGGAGGGTGTTCCTTATGTTAAAGTATGCCGATATAACCCAAAACACCTATGTCCAAAGTTGAACGGTTATGGAGATAATGGCCAGAGAAGTGTCAAACTTTGACCGGTGTTACACACTTGTTGATTACAAAATACATATTAAAATTGGCAGGAATATGTGGATTCTGTAATGTTAATAATGTATGTAACATCAAACTAACTTGTGAGTGACGGAAAGCCATAAAATTGAAGTACGAAATACTCGCTCGCCATGTCATAATTGTCCTTGGGGTTTCCAAGCACTGTACATGACACATGACTGGCGAGCGATGACGTAATATGGCTGCGCTATAACCCGACCACATAAATGTACATTCACAGGAAATCTCTTTTGGAATTTCGTTTCCATTATCTCATGTGGATTATTATGGAACCACGTATGCACATTTCGTAAATTATTTACACCATCCAGGGTAAAAGACGCCTCATCACTGAATAAAATGACGCTTAACAGTTCGGGATGAACTTTTTATCCAGTGGCACAAATCCATACGCTGTGCATGGTCGCCTGGTTCCAGATGT